CCCATGTGTTCCCCCCCCCCCCCACATACATCAAATTTTCAGCAGGCATATCTACCAAAAAATTGAACATGGCGAAATGGAGAGCACCTTCTTTTCTCGATGCGCACTACATACAGTCAATCACTGTGGCTGCGCATTTTGAAGCTGATACATTTATCTTTCATAAAATATCAAACATATTAATATTTTCCACCAAAAAGAGTTCCGAATTTAATGGAAAGGCAATATCAGCACATGAGGCTATAGAGCAACCGATAAGAGGAATATAATCTCTCCACTTTATCAACTCGATATCTGACTCTGCCAAATCATTAACATATGTCCGTTCCCTCAAAATTTCATTCACAATATTACCACTCGCATGAAATGATTCTTGCCATATGTTTTCAAACGTCGAAGTTATGTTTACGCGATCATCTTGATTAGGTATATCAGAAACCCATTCGAACCACTTTTCATCAAACTCCCTTTTAAGTTTTTCTTCCGTAAAATTCTTATCTGTTTCTGTAGTTCTTCTAAGCTCGTCAGCAAGATCCTTGGCCTTTTTTCTGTCTCTTATACACATCTACCTCCATGTTAAAACATAGCATTATATATGTGTCCCCATTAAAATATAACCAGATAAAGTACTTAAACATTCTATATTAACCTCTTATTTCATCGATCACATATAACAATTTACTTATTATATAGAGACAAATCTAAATACACATCCTTATTCATAATAATTTATTACACGCTATTACTGTATTCTAATAGGCCTAATTGCTAGACTAATTGTTTACATCGTTTTAATTATAAGTATAGTTTCGCCAATCTTTTGTAATTTAACAATCAATTGATAAGCAATAAAATGAAATGAATATCTAATTATAAACATCAATTTAAAAACGAGTATAATATTATATTGGATTTCATATGACTTTTATCACCACATAATTAAGTAGCTTATTTTTCCTTTCTTTTAAACAATTTACTTATTTTTTTTTATTGATTTTATAGATTGTAAGTGTCTATCATGTCGGCCTTTGCTGTTTCCCAGCTAATTTGCTCCCATTCATCTGGAATATCTCCTGGTTTACAATCATAGTATTCAGCAAGTTCTTCGTTGTAGGTTGCCATAAACCATTTCCAGTACAATTGTGACCCTGCTGCTATCGGCTGGATTTTCCAGGCTTTGTAGTATTCATTAACACTTTGGTATTCTTTGTAAGGATGCCATTTGTGTTCAGTGTCTATATTTTTGAATCTGTTTTCTGTCATTACAGATGATGTGCATACGTCGACATTAAGCTTCTTAGTGAATTCCCAATGATACCCAGCCACTCCTTGTGGTCGATGGTACTCTGTACGATGGTCATCATATTCGTCACCAGATTGAAGGTCACATGGTGCATTACAAAATGGACATAATTTAAGACAACCGAGGAGATCTCTTTTAAAAAACTGTTTACAAGGTTCAATCAGTTTAGTGAACAATTTAAAATTGACTGCTTCCTCCATTTCTTCTTCAGATTTTTTAAATTCGATTAAAAGGTTAGCATACATCTCTTTCACGTCAAATAAGTCGTCGTTGTTAAGAAAACCTATTTCAGGTTTTAAGTCCAATCTATTCCCGATATGTTTAAGTAATTTCGACCACCAAGCGCCCATAGTGCATGTCGAGGCAAAGCTTCTGCAAGTATCATGGATTGCTGTTCTTGCTATGCTGAAGAGTTCAGTGACCTTTTTGGAATATATTCTCCCGAAGACAGTTTCCCTTTCTTCTGTTTCTGTAGTGCAGAATTCCCTCAAGTTGTGTCCTATCATAATTTCCATAAATCTTGACGGATCTGCCAAGTATTTTCGGAATGCCTTAAAATCCTTATCATCTGCCAAGTCTATCAATATTTGTGCATGGTAACTCATTTTATTTGCGAATGTTCGACTTCGGGATGTGCGTACATGGTCTATGATTCCTGTTATGCAATTTTGTGTAAGAGATGTTTTTATGGCATTTGTCAGATCACGAGAAACTGCGTTACTTGCAAACACACTAAATTTTACAATAGTAACCTGATCTCTAAACATTTGCCATAATCTGTCCTTTTGTGATTCCATGTATCGTTTGAGGTCAGTTTCTCTTCTATATGTCTCTTGAAGATGATTGAGCTGGCCAAATAAATACCACAGAATGTGTATCGTATTTCGAATCAATCCTCTCTTTTTAAACTTGTACTTTTGTGTCTTCTTCACATCATTTAGTCGATTTAAAACAAAGTCAAACAGGACTCTGCCGACTTCGTCTGTGAACGTTTTTCCCTCACTTGGAAAGGTTTCAATCTTTCTTTCAGAGTCTGACTTTATTGATAATATATTATTATAGGCAATATCAGCACATGAGGCTATAGAGCAACCGATAAGAGGAATATAATCTCTCCACTTTATCAACTCGATATCTGACTCTGCCAAATCATTAACATATGTCCGTTCCCTCAAAATTTCATTCACAATATTACCACTCGCATGAAATGATTCTTGCCATATGTTTTCAAACGTCGAAGTTATGTTTACGCGATCATCTTGATTAGGTATATCAGAAACCCATTCGAACCACTTTTCATCAAACTCCCTTTTAAGTTTTTCTTCCGTAAAATTCTTATCTGTTTCTGTAGTTCTTCTAAGCTCGTCAGCAAGATCCTTGGCCTTTTTTAGAATTTCTTTTTCATATGTTTTAATGTCAGAATCAATTTTGGCTCTACCAATAACCTTTTTCTTAATCGCCATCAATTCACTCTTTAGAGATTTTCTCAGGTCTTGACACAATTCGTTCATCCTTAACTCTGTTTTTCTTTTCCATTGACGTGCTTTCGGTTTGCATCCAAAATAATTATTCATTTTGTTTTCGAATGTCTTTATTGCTTTTTCTAATGTAGTACTGTGTCTGGCTAGTATTTTCTCGCAGTCCACCTTTAGTACCGAAGGTCTTAGTTTATTACATTCAATTCGAAGCTCATTGACACAAATCATTGCATCTCTTCTCACGGTACGGGAATGCTCTACAAATTCTGTTTCAAGAGCATTAAACGCCTGGATTTCGAGTGTGTTTCTGAAATTGAATACAAAGTTTTCAGAAATTATCGCTTTCCAAAGATCAGATAGTCTATGATTGAAATCACTGATTGTTTGACAATCACAGTTTTGCATTAGGTCGATGACCTTTTCCCTTACTTGTAGAATACACGAACTGTAACCTGGATTTGGAGGGGCCATTGGTGGATCTCCTTGCCAAAGACTAGAAATATACATCACGTGCTTATTTTCTTGAAAATTTATTACGTCAGAAAATACCTCATATTTCTCGCTGCAGTTTTCTTCCTTGGCAGCAATTTTTGTGATTTCATCCAACATTCTCGTCATTTTCCTTCTTTGTGCAGTATTTCTGTCGGAGGCTGTTACGTCTGCAACATTCTGGTGTACAAATAGGCAACTGGGTTTTATTTTTACAGTTTCCATTTTCATTAATGCATGAACAACAATTTGCAAGGTGTCTTGCATATCACTTGGATTTTCTCCCATTATGTTGATAATAGTAGCGTCACCTAAACCAATTACAAATGTAGCAATTTCATTGACACGGTTTGTATGTTCAATACTAGCTAACTCTGGAGCACGCAGACCTTCTGTATCAACCACCATGATATAATCACATTTGGTTGATTGTTGTAGGTCTGTGTGTAGCTGAACTAGCTGAACAAAAACACCTTTCGTACACCTACCAGCACTAACGGCAAACTGTAAACCAAACATTACGTTTAGCATAGTGGATTTACCAGTACTTTGTACACCTAATACAGAAAGCACGAACAAGTGTTTATTGCCAATTCTGTCTTGAAGGCACGACATAACATTCTTTATCCAAGCTATAGGAACATCCGACGCATCACCATCCATTAGTTCTAACGGATGTCCTTCAAGTAACATATCTGCGACAACATTGGGAAATCTCTGAACCGAATATGAGGACGGTGACAATTTGAAATGCAATATCATTTCGTATATCTGTCCAATCTCTCTATTAAAATGTTCCAACCCCACGGAAAGGTCAGTAAGCTTCTGATGGAGTTCATCGAGCTTCCTTTTCAACAATTCAGTTTCTGGAGTGTGTTGATTTTTATTTGTGTAAAGAGCATCACATAATTGGTTCCATTTACTGTTGTACTCCTCGCGTACTGGCTGCAGTTGATTAATGCTACACTGATCTGCCATTATTTTAACCCAGCAATAGAAATACTTTCTCTTTAGCGGTGGATATGAAAATGATTTCATAAACATCTCAACCAGGTTTGAAAATGTTTCACAATAACATTTTTGTTCCATTCGTAGCTCATTGAGTTCTAATTGTATCTTGGCAATATATTTTTCTACTACCATATTTCCCTTCTGTTTTAGTTGACATTGTTCTCTTTTTCTTTCAGCAATTTTAATTGCAATCATTTGTAAAGGTAGCAATTTTGACTTTTTATCAGCATCACTACTGTGGCCTGTGTAATACTGTAAACTCTTCAACGTTTCTTCAGCGCTTTCTTTTGCATCTACACATTCTTGGGTATCTTCATCAACGTAAAAGCCAATCTTTCTCGCTACAACATTACAGTCGTCTAAACTCCGTTTAAGTACGCCACACCGACCATTAGAGAGCATATCATTCAAAGAATTCACAATTTCTCTACTCACGTGCAAGGTATTTTTCCTGGACGTATATATCAATTCTACCTGCTTTGACTGATCGTAAGTGTCAGAATACCGCCGATCCAATGAAAGAAGTAAGTCCTTCATATGTTTTCCAGGTGTTCCTTCCGATACAAGAATTAGGTGGCCATTTTGTTGGTACAAGGACTCAAGTAAATCAACTTCTTGTTTATCAACCACGTCTGAGGTGATGAAGGCAATAGTTGCAAATGACACTTCCTTTAAGAAGGTTGTTTGATGCTTAAGTTCGGATGCATTCCCTCGTAAATTCATCATTGCTAGAGCGTCAGGGAATTTATCTTGGTCTCTACCAGTTGGAAGGTACCATGTCATTTCTAATACGCCGGTCGAGAGGGTTCTTTCTATAGTTCCACCGTTACTTCCGTAATGAAAGAAGACACCATGTTTTTGATCGTTGATAACAGCGTTGAGAATATTAGATTTGGATATACCAAGCTTGCCAATGCGAAGTGCAGACACGATCGACAGAGGGTGCATAGACATCGATCTTTCACACGATGATCCTGAGCATGTTTTCCATTGTTTTTTGATGGTTCTTGTCGCCCAAAGAAGCATTTCACACTTTTGACAACCGTCGATAATTATTGGGAGAAGCAAAGGTACACTAAACTGACACATTGTTAGTTTCTCCATAATTACCTGCCTTAAGAAATTGTCTGCACACATGAACAATGCGATTAGTACATCAGCAGGATTAACTTGTATGTTCGTTGCGCTGTTCTCCTCTACCACTGTAGGTGTATTTAGTAGTACTGAAAGCTTTCTTCTGCCGGAAAAATTTGTAGCTCTCTGTTTTTCTTCGAAAGATCGTCCCTCATAGTTACATACCATAAGACTTTGCAACACATACATTGAAGTATTTGTGCTGTTTCGAAGATGATCACGTGAAATTACATTTTGTGAAACGAGGAGAGCCTCCTGACGAGATAGTTTCTTAGGAAAATATTGTTTTAAACCCAACAGTTTAAAAATATTAAGGCAGTCAGGCTCTAATTCATATGCTTTTGGAATACTTGTCTTTAATCCACGTCTCCCTTTGTCAGAGTGTGTAGCTTTGTACAATGCATTGTGCAAGGTCATATCTTGATCATGGTCACTTACTTGATCATAATACTGATGAATATATAATAAGATTTCTCTCCAATTTTCAGGATCTTTGTTGTCCAAAGAGTCTATTTTGTCTCTGATTTTTTCTGGTAAGTCCTGGTAAGTTGTTGAATTCTGAAGTTTGTGTTTCAAATTATTACAGTCGCCGTTTAGCAATATCATTTCCAAAAAAACCGAAATAATAAAAATAGATATCTTTTGCTTGTCGTTTAATTTTGCATATATGGAAATGTTGTTTTTAATAGTAACTTCAAGGTTTGTAACGTCTTCGATAGTAAGTTTAGTACTAAGAAATCCTATCGTTTCATGAAAACCCAATGGTGTTACTAATGCAAAGAGAAGCTTAGCATCTGAAACGCGATTTTGACGATAAAAAACATCAACAAGTCGAATTACTGCTCTCGACAGGTATGATGCAACATTTGATATTGTTTGGTGGCGATGTCCGTTCAATTCAAGATCCCATATTGCTTGTTCCAAAAGAAGAGCAAAATCGCTGAACTCGGAGATGTCTTTGGTGTTTCTACCATTTCTTTCTGTTGGTTTCAGTAGTTGCTGCCACTTATAATATTCATTAAGCTTGTCATTTGATACACACGGCTGGTTTAACATATCGTTGTCGTTGATAATCTTAAAAATAACGGCGAGGGTGTCCTGTTTGGTAGGTTTTGTGAACTTTTTTAGAAAAATAATAATATCAAAATCTTGGCTTCCAATAAAAATATCGGACCATGCTCTAATGCTTCTGGTACACTTGATAACTTTCCCTTTTATATCAAGAATTTTTTCAAGAAATAAGTATTGGCGATCAGTATCTTCTAAAGATGTTACGTATGTATGTACCTCATTTATGAGAGCTTCTAATTCAGATGAAATAGTGAAGATATGGTAAACGTTTGACATATCCACCCAAGCTTTAAATAGATAATGTCCTATTGCTTTAGCATTTTGAATTTTGGAATTTTCTAGAATTTCCCAAATCGCAACAGGAAATTCCGTTCCTCGGTCGATTACATTCCAAGATTTAATGTCAGCTGACATTCCCAGTTTCCACGTTGGAAAATAAGAAAATGTTCTATGACCACCTGAGGCCGTAGTCGTCAGCACAACACACCTAGAGTATTGTGATCTAATTTTCCCTTTTATTTTGCCAGCATCATACTCAACATTAAACGCAAATCTGCCAAATGGTGCCTCCTTAAATGCTTCTATTGATTGTAGATTGATAGCTTGCACACCAACATCCCCACCAATGACCGCCTGTGTAGTTTCTGCAGTAATCCATTGAATTCCACCAAAATGAATAGGTCCTTGAAAAATGTGAGATCCGTAAGTGTTAAGAAACTCTTTACAGCACTCCATTACTCTGATTTCGTCAACCTCTCTCATGGAATTGATTTTTTTAAGATGTTCTTGGGCACTATCACTGAATCTCAGCTCATCCTTCCTGAATGTAAAGGAAGCAATAGGAAATTGTTTCATTTTCACAGTTGATATGTCTTTTCCTTTTTTGGAAGGTAGATTCACAGATCCAGAAATATATCCATATGTGTGGGCATGTTCAATGAATGATTTCACTTGATCTTTACTTCCACTCATAACCATATCTGTATTCGGTAAATTTGGTCCATTAAGAACAACCTTTGAAGGAACTTTTAACAGATTGTCTGAGGGAAAAGCGTAAATTCCATTTCCTGTGTAAAGAACGCCTTTTAAGCAACTCCCACTCGAAGCTGTTCGAATAAGACTTGTGAGGGACAGTTTGTAAGTAGGTTCCTGAGCCTCTAAATAACATTCCAATTTTGACAAATCTCGTAACACTTTTTTAAGAGAGGTGTTTGGCCGTATCCAGTTTGCTGATGGTATCTGCAGGATTTCTCTTAATGACTGCTCAGTGACATGAACAGTTTTACAAGACCTTGTTTTTCCATCTGTGAGAAATGACTCGATTTGCTTAATGCATTCGTTAACTAATCTAATACGGTTTCTTATGTTAACAAAATGCAATACAAATGAAGGATACTCATTGTGTATGCCAAAAAGGTTTTGAAGTTGTACTATCTCATTCCGTGTTTGACAAACATGTTTTAATTCGTTCAAGCAATCTAGTCCGATATGTTTGATTGATTCCATTTTTGACACTGCAAATTTTGTCTTCAGTATGTTAAACCAATGACGATCATTCAATCCTAGCTCCTTCAGCCTCATGCATAATTTATTTTCTGAATCTGTGATTGGTTGTTCTTCATCTTGAGGAATATTGAGCAATTCATGCAGCCCACTTACTTCGTAATCATCTGCACGTTCAAATACCTTTCGAATTTCCGCTCCGTTTTGTGTGATAGCCTTCAATTGCGAAATGTCATTTACACCTAACACTTCCCTCAATATTTTGGTCCACTTGACTGCATCTAGGCCAACATCTTTTATCAAACATTGAAGTTCACTGGGGCGCCAAAATGACACAGCATTCACAGCATACTCAAGTACATTGTACAACATAGACAATATATGCCCCATCTGTATGGACAAACATAATAAGTATTATATATACGTCTATCCCCACACCACACATAACCAAGGAATGATAAAAGTACCGATACGCCCATTGACAAAAAATGGAAATACATTTGACACTGACAGAACATGAAGAAATAGAAAAATAATCATTGAAATAATTAAAAACAGACCTATACAAAAACATAATCGAGTACAAATTTGGCGACAAGAATACGGATTGTAATATACAAAAATTATTTATTAATAATAATATGTAATCTGTCATACTACTTAGTATAGCGATCATTTAAATGATTGATCATATCGCGCAAATAATTATTTTTTTTATGATAACATAATAAATATGATAGCATAGAAAAATGTTCTATTAATGTTAATAGTAGATGGAAACTCAGATTGGTAGGCCTATATTATCGCACTTTGACTGACAGGCGCAATTATTTTTTCCCCAAATAAATACCGGAAATGTGTCCGTCGGGGGGATAGTTTATTTACCATTTTGCTTAAGTTCAGTGTAAATAATTAAGGAATAAAAAGGGCTGACGCCTCACCCTCACCCCTGTCGAAAGCCACCCAACAATGGATTATACCATTGTAAGGTGGGTGCACAATGGGGTGTTTGTCTTGATGTTGGTCTAGAATAGGTTTTGGTTGTAGTGCTAGGAGTTTTTGTGTCAGACCTCTTTTATTCTTTTTTGTATTATGCATTACAAACTGAGTGTAGCCTATACCTTGGCATAAACATTTATTACTCCAAATGCAAAACTGGATAGCTTCTCTTAATTATGCAATTGAGTGGTTTCTAGAAAATATTTTTTTTTACAGTCAACGTTAATTTCATTTACCCTTTTTTCAGTGTCATTACATCTTTCTCATTTTTCTTATTTTATTACAAACAATAAATAAATAAATATTATTTTCCTTTCTTTATTACCAATGACAAATATCTATTTATTTATTACAGTATTTATTTACTTTATTTACTATTAGCATTTATTTATTAACATAAAGTAAAGTAAAAATTTAGAATATTTTCACTTCCAGCGTATTGATATGACAATTATTCACAAATAAATATTAACTTTTCATTACTAAAGTAAATATATTCTTGACAAGTGCTATAAAGGGATTGGCTATAAAGAGCCATATAATAATTTTAAATAATTTTATGTGATATTTTATTTGTTTGTTTTTAAAATACCTTCAGTACTATTGATAAATACTACATTATAGTTATTTTATCAGGTTTTTGTGATACTTGTATAAAGCAATGACTATATTTTATTTCTCGCTTTCTTTTTTTATTTCATATAATACTTTTGTAATATTATTTATACTTTCATTACTATTGATTGACAGCAGGTAACTACTACAGTATGTTAATGTTTATAATAATGGAACAAAAAAGTAATCTCTCAATCATAATTTTACTATGACTTTTAGATAAAATTTGTATATTCTGACTATGTATATATGGGAACTGTATATCGTAATAATTTAATTTAGTACCCCTGATACATAAATAATATTAATTGTATCTTATGTTTTGACTAATTCTTGTATAATAGTTCATAAAATTTAAGTTGAAATTTTCAAAGTTTTTTAAATTGTTATGTATACAGTTAAGTAAATGTAACTTTATAGTATTGTACATACGTACAGCCTGCGTATAGATATTGAATTCTTAGATAATATCATTTTGATACGGAAAGGACAAAATTCCTTAAACATGTTGTGGTAATTTAATCTTATGTTGTTTGCAAGAAAAGAAAGTGAGAAAATTATATATTTATAGTAGGCCTATTGTACATAGCTAATTACTGTAATGTCATTTGTGATGAAGAAAAGAAAATAATATTGTAGTTGATTTTGAAATTACAAAAAAAATGTTACTTATTTTTTGTAATCAAATAGGCCTATGTTGTGATATTTAATAATGTATTTATGTTCTTTGTAAAGAAAAGAAGAAAGTAAAAGAATGAATAAATGTTGTAATTCCTTAAACATGTTGTGATACTTTAATCTTTGTGTTGTTTGCAATAAAAGAAAGTGAAAACAGTGAAATAAAACTGTAAAAGTATTAGAGAGCAGTGAAAATTACTTCACTTTTAATTTAATTAATGGAAACAAAAAAAATTAGATGATGTTTGCATTTGGAGTACTAAATCATGTTTATGCCTAGGTAGGCTACACCCAGTTTGTAATTCATAATACACAAAAGAATAAGAGGTCTGACACAAAAAACTTCTAGCACTACAGCCAAAAAAGTGTAGACCAGCAACAAAGCAAACACCCATTGTGCACCCCCCACCTTACAATGGTATAATCCATTGTTGGGTGGCTTTCAACAGGGGTGGCTTTCTTCCTACATTCTACCTAACAATGGCGTCCTATTATAAACAAACCTCGTCCTCGTCTTAATTATAAACTACACCTAGCCACTTCCCTTATATTTACAACTACCTCCATGCAATGGCTAAAGAAATCATTTAAAAAAACAATATTCTAAAAGGTAATAAACGCTTTGGTATACAGCTACCCTTTTAACTTCCCTATACATCCTAAATATAGTCTAAATAATATCAACAAAATAACATAATGTCGATAATGTTAATTGATCAACAAACAGCATGGCGAAACTGAAAATCAACCAATCAGAATAAAGTAATTAGCATGTTGGAATTTCCCACTGACTTGGAATTTCCATAATTTTGTTAATGTTAAATGTATTTGTTAAAAAAAAGTCATAAAATTAACTTGATCATTTTCTAGTAACCTACAAATTATTAACATGAGCATAGAAATTATTGAATGAAAATGTGTACCCTGATTTTTTTACTGGATACTAATATATTTTTTTAAAAGAAAGTCAGTGGTTTCAATCAAGAATACTTATTATCAATTAAGTAAGTGAACAATGAAACAAGTTGTCTTGCCTGTTGCTAAAATATCTAAAAAATGACATAATTACAGAATATTAAACACAGAGTATAAAACATTAAAACAGATGTGGAAAATAGATATATATATGTAACTGCATGAGTTGAGTAATTGCATTGGTTGGAATTAATTTACAAGTTTCAAGGTATGTGTTCTAAATAAATACACAATTGAAGATAAAAGTACAAAATATTATATATTGGCCTAATATGTATGAAGAGAGAAGATTAATATGAGTTAAAATCCCTCAGTACTGCATATTACCTGTTGAATGCGATAATGATTTACATTAATTTCGCCAATGGTTTAATTGGATACATCATTTTCGGCTTAAACGTCGGTAAAATATGTTTATATAAATACACTAATTTCTATGTTCAAGTTGATTACTGTAAATACCTGTACTTAAAAATGAGCAAGTTAATTCCAAACATGATTTTATGGTATTTTGCATCGAACAATGCATCTTTAAACACACCAAAGCCAAGACATTTTGGTGTTATAAATTCGAACATTTTATTAATGATATTGTTATCATTATAGGCCTACTATCTGTTATATTTGGATAATGTAGTGTTACAAGTAAGATTAAGCAAGGAGGTTGGATTAAGAAAACATATATGCCTACCTATAGACTAACCTACCTTTGAATGGATTGGTGACGGGTTCAAGCGATTAAGACTGAATCTGACTATTAAAGCACTTCTTACACTGGGAGCTTTCGATGACTTGCGCGACAACGACGCTAGAAATTAGATTCACTAATGCGTTTTGCATAAAAGTAGATTCGGCCATATTGTATGGAACGTCATTACTGACTTCAGTACAGATTCGTCATGCTTAATCGACGAATCTAAGACCACTTCTCCCTTTCATCTTGAGGGCCAACACTAATTAGTTTACAGTAGCCAATCCCCACCCCTAAAGACTAATTAGTATTATGTATTATTTAACTCGGTGTAGGCTAAAATGATAACAATTACTGTTACAGTAATTGTTAATATTAGAAGGATCCTAATTTTGGAGGGGAAAAACAACTTTTTTTTTTCTTTTTCTTACATTGTTTGTACCGTACTCAATTTTGCTATGCCGTGATAACCAGGGCCCTCTGTCGATGAGATTACGAAAGATGACGTTACTACAGCTGAAAATGCATCAACATATAAGAAGCCACGCCGTCTCTCAGCTAAGTCGTGGTATTAGCAATTTCCCTAGTTGCATTGCATGCGGTTCGAAACGTAGCTTAGGAAGTTTAGGTTTTGGTTTATTTTAAACGAATTTCCAAATCAGTATAAATGAATTATAACGAGTTTTATTACGTAGAAGTATCAGACAAATTTTTTTCGCATTGTGTCCAACATTGACGGTGCTATTTCGATAAAAGGACAGTCAAAAGACGGAGTTGCGCGTCAAGTGTTCAAATTTCGTTGACTTGATCATGAGTTTACTGAAAAAAAAAAATTTTTATTTTCCTTATTCTTTTCTCCCCAAAGGTTACTTTTATTATATTTAATACTTTGCATATTATGTATTAAATACTGTGTACAAATTGCATTTGGAATGAAACACAAACATAATATGTATATTCACATGGTTCTTTTCCATATGAATACAAAATGTAATTATACAATTTACAAAATCTAACTATGCAAAACTTGATAAAAAAAAAAAAAAACCCAAAAAATTTGGGGAAAAGGAAATGCCCATACGCAGTTCAGCACAATGACGCTGCAAGTTATTGGTTATTTTCTGTTTCCCATTTTTTTTTTTTTTTTTTTTTTTTTTATTTTGCAAAAATTAGAGGAGGGACGGGACGACTGGGATTTCTTGAAGAAAGGGAGGATGCAGAGGTGTAGCAAATGATGCGATCGCACCCTCCCCCTCCCCAAATTGTATTAAGAAAAATAATTGCTATATTGTATGGTTCATATATTATTTTTATCATTAAAAATATAGCACCTGTAAGATTTTAAAAGTATGAGAATGCAATTTCCGAGCACCTTGAGGTGCCTATTCTAACAATGTTCTCACCTCAGCCCCAACCATGGGGCCGAAGTGGT